AATTAATTATATCAAACAAATGAACTTTATGTTTTTATTTTTTTAAGTGTTTCTATTTTATTTTGAGAGAGAGAGAGGGAGAGAGAGAATCCCAAGCAGGCTCCATGCTGTCAGCACAGAGCTTGATGCAGGGCTTGATACCACAAACCATGAGACCATGGCCTGAGTCAAGAGTCAGATGCTCAGCCGACTGAGCTCCCAGGTGCCCCTAAACTTTATATTTTTAAATAAAACTATCTTCCTTTTCTCTACTAATTCCTTATTTTTTGCTTTCATCTGTATTACATATTCTACTTTTTTCTGTTTATTTTCCTGATTATCTGTCCCTGGTCTCATCTGATGCCAGAAGACCATAGGGCTCCAGGTGTCCCATCTGGGGCCAGCCCTCCCTCACTGGCCCTGTGCAGGGGGAGATTCCCAGTGTCCCCTCCCTCCAGCCCCGTGGCCCTGTAGCACTAGATGAGGTCAGTGGGGGAAAAAATAAGAGTTCTGTGGTCATTTCTGGCCAGAAAAATATAAATAATGACATGTAAATAGTAAATGGATACTCTAAATAGCAGCTTACGTGTCCAAAAGAGGAACTCATGGAACAATAAATAGATTTGTGAAAACTGCCTCATCAGAGGCGAAAGATAAATAACGAAAGTCAGGATGCAAAGGGGATAGAAGAAAAGAGGTACTATAGCTCTGAAAAGCAATATTTCTAGCAATAATATCAGAAACTAATGAAAGACAAGCACCTTTCAGTTTGACAATTCCGTATCTTCTGTCTGGGTTTCAGTGGTAAAATGGATTTCCTACCGGGCATCTATGCTAGAATATACAAGTACAAGACTCTTTCCATTTTTCATAAGAGTGTGAAATTAAAGAGGAGAGTAAGTTCAATCAGTGTTTATTGCCTTGAAAGACAACCTTTGATGTTCCCACTCTTGGGGATCAGTACGGGTGGAGAGAGAGCTGGAGGGGCCTCGCCGCTTGCCAGCTGGAGTGTTCTTCCTGCCCGATTTAGAGCAGAAGCAGGTTCCTTTGTTGAAAGTTGTATGTGCATTTCAGGGAGATATTTATAATTTTCTAGCGCAGCTCCATGCTGCATCGTGATAGAGTATTGGGGCCAAGGTTTTATCAAGCTTTGGTATTTTTGGGAGATTTCAAGTTAGAGCACCGAGAAACGATTTTTACCCACTTGCAATTAAATGTGTCCCTGATTGACAATTATTTGTCACTGAAAATTACAGAAATTTAATAAGATATAGCTTTCAGACTTTAGTCATAGAATATTTGTATTTCCCCTTGGGAAAGTGCCTTGACTTTCTTCAAAGTTGACCCTTGTTCTTTCTTAAAGCAAGATTTCCCTACTAAATACTAAATACTAAGTCACAAACATGTGAATGAGCGTAGCCAGCTCAGGACAATGGTTAGAGTTTCCGATCAATGTAATTGTATTACAATTATTACCAAAATAAAGGTGTTTAGCCAAGGGGTTGCCAGACCTGGTCGATGTCAACCCTTGTGGCTGTTGATCCCCGCTTCAGACCAACTGAATCAGAACCTCTGAGGGCAGAAACCAAGAATTTTTGTTTTGAATGAGGTCAGCATGATCGTCAAGGTCAACAGAGCCCCCCACATTGGTGTTTACTGAATGGATAGCACTTAAATAGTCCAATGGTCAGACCACACTCCAAACCACTTAAACTAGAATTTTAGAAAATGGGGGTGCCTGGGTGGCTCCAACTCTATAGATATCTGCCCAGGTCATGATCTCAAGGTTCGTGAGTTCAAGCCCTGCATCAGGCTCTGACAGTGTGTAGTGTGCTTGGGATTCTCTCTCTCCCTCTCTTTCTGCCCCTTCCTTGTTCTCTCTTCCTAAATAAATAAATAAATAAACTTAAAAAAAAAAAAAGAGTTTCAGGAGAAGGGACCCCGGCATCAACATTTCAAAAGCTCTTCCCGTGATCCCAGTGTCTCGCAGACCCCAACTCCCCCGTACAGAGTACACTGCGGGTTCAGGACACTTTCAACACCACTGCCATCGAGCAAGGATGGCATGATAGCTGGCCTGCCTCCAGAAGGAAGACAAACACATTCTGCAACTAACATATTTAAATTTTCTTTAAAAAGCATATGCTTTCAACTTTTTACTTTATCTACTAGTAATCCCACCAACTGGATGTTTTCCCTTTTCTTGTAAATTTTATAAGGCCATCTATTAAAAATCTACCACTTAAGCTCTCTTCGATATATATTTATAACCACACAGCCAACAGCCCGTCTTCTCCCAGGAGCAATCGAATAAAGGAAACTGTAAGTCAATTATCATGCTTCAGCTGAAAGATCAAATTACTAAAATAATTAACAATTACCGAAGCAATTGGAAAAGCTTTCCTAAGTGGAGGGTTAAAGGAGATTCAGAGATTCCCAAATATCCGGGCACAATTAGATACCTTGTTCATGTTAAAAAATAACCTTCAAAAGAAAAACCATGACTGACCGGCAGGCAAATATAAAATGAATGCATATCAAAGATGTTATTCATCCTGTTAGGTAATGAGGGAGCTGATAAGATTGAAAAGCTGGTTCAAAGACGTAGCTTCCTCTTTGAAGACCAGCCATTTCATAGGCAGTTTGGCAAAGGTAGTTAGTCTGAGATGCTGAGTTAGATCTAAAAGTGGCTAACACCCTACGGGTCAGTAAACTATATTCTTAGGGGTTATGTTCTCTGCCAGAAAAGCCCATGAGCGTCTCGGGAGGTCAGATATGTGCAAGTGAACAGCAGTCTCGTTAGGTCTGTGACCCTTAGCTAGCAGTGACCAAAGGCCACTCCCCCCGCGATCCCTGCCTGGGCCCATTATGGTGTCAAGAGACCTACCCTTTACATTTTTGTCTTACGTTCAAGTTTTAAATAATTGTTCTCATTCTCACTATTCATAGCAGCTTCAACGTACCTTCATTTTCATTAAGCTACTCTAAATGGAAGCGTTTCACAAAGTTAAGACGATGAGGCAGGTAATAACTAATAACTAATAACAAAAAGCCCATGGCTCACGTCACGGATTGGTGGCCACACTCTTTGTGCCCTGACTTGGCCTTGAACTTCTCAACAGAGCTTGAGGCGGTCTCTATCGGTGCCCACAGTAGACTTGATAAGGTGACCCAGCCTCCTCTGCAGAGTCTTGAATGGTTAAGCCCCAGGTGGGTAGCAGTCTGGCCCTGATGGAACCGACCACCTTCATCGGCCACCTGCCTGCTGCCTGCACCATTTGAGAAAGCTCCATCTTGGTGGAACCAAACTCAGAGGGGCCAACTTCGGACATCTCTCGGCCACTGTCCCACAGCCCCGTCCTGTGCCCTCAGCTCCGGGGCACAGAGGGAGAGAGAACATGCAGGTGCCCACGAGGACTGGCCCTAGAATCTTCCACCTCCAGTCAATCCTGTTCTGCACTGGGATGTGACCTTCCTGATGGGCTGCTGAGCTGCCCAAGGGCTTAAGTCTCTCAGGAACATTTTAGAAAAACTGACTACAATACTACTTTACTAGTTAGGTAGGCAATACTTCAACTTTCCTTAGCAATTAAAGACAAATTACTTTTAAAATTTAAGACCACAGTAGATTTATGTTTTGTGTTGTTTTGGTTTATCCAACCTACTGATTACTGTGTGTACGCTTTGTGCTCTTGGTTTAAGACACTTTGGGGTCAGATTGCTTATTGCCCCGGTATTGACATGAAGGTATAATGGGGCTCAGCATGCCCTGGAAAGGCCAGACGTTCCTTGCAGAGTGAGATGTGGAGAGAATGTTCCAGCAGTAACCCCAGTGCCCTCTTCCCCACTCAGTGCTCCCTCACTACATCCCTTGTCCCTGTCCCTTGTCTCCTGTCCTTCCCCTCCCCGCCCCCCGCCAGGATTTGATCTCACACCAGCCCTCCATTACCTTCGATTCTTTCCCTCTTCTTCACCTGTCCAGGTTCTCAGGCCCTTTCTGCCACCCCTGCCTTTCCTGCCTTTGCTGCAGTGCCTCTCTGCTTCCCGAACCTTCCTGAACCTTCCCTAGCTTTGCCCACAGGAACACATGCGTTCCATCTCCGACCCAGACTGGATCCGCTCGGACTTCTGATCGTTTACGTCACCCAGGAGACTCTCTGGCCCACACAGAAACTTGCAAACGTACAGATTTCTCTATTGACTATAGGGTAATAGATAGTCTGTCCCCACGTTAAGCCTGGTTTTGACTGACAGTTACAAGTGATCCCAGAACAGAGAAAAATGACACTGCTGGAAAACCCATTCACCTAGCACAGACTACGATCAAGAAGTCATGATAGTCAGAGATAGAGAATTGGCTTCAGACTCCCAGAAAGGATATGAGCACAAATACAGAATTACAAATTCCCTTAAATGAATTTTGGAGAAGACAGCTTCCTCTGGTTTAACTAGGAAATGACTATAACTACATACCGACCTCAAAGCATACTGCGTCTGCTACAATAATAGTTTGGAACGAACTGGAAGAAATCGTTCAGAGCTGATTAAATCCTTGTGATGCCAAGCATGATTTGGCATCCTGGGAAGACTCTCTGGGGGCATGTCCGCCGGTCCGGCCCTGGACACACGGATGCGTGACCTGGGCAGTGAGCCGCACCCACTAAGGACCCCCCTTTGTTCTGATCGCCAAGGAGGAGCTCAGGGCAGAGGCCAGGCAAGGAGCTACTTTAAGTCTGCTCTGTCTCCCTAAATTTAAAAAACAGAGAGATTAGAGCCAAGCCAACAGCCCAGCCGCCACTGGAGGCAGTCCTGCAGAAGCAAGCATTCACTGACCCAGTAAGGAAAAATCCTGTGAACTGTCAACAATTGCTCTGAACCCAATTTTACCAACTGAACCCGCTCAGCCGGAAGTGGGAAACAAAAGGTGACCCACATCCAAATGCAAACGAGCCTATAAAAGGATACTCAGACCCACTGGTGTTGAGAGAAAATGGAAGCTAACTAAGAAGAAACATCCCCCCACCATCCTCTTGGGGAAAAAACCCCCACAAAATCAGTAATGAGTTGTGGGGACAGCAAGACGCTGGCGCCCTCCTCAGAAAGCACCTGTGCTTCTGTAAATGGTGGACACCTCATTGGGAGCCAGTCTTATTCTGCGTCAAGCTTTCAAATAGGCCTGCCGCTCGAGAGAGAAATTCCAGTTCCAGAGTTATGCTGAAAAAGTAGCCGCAGGTGAGTCTCTGAAAGCACACACGTGGGTGTTTACGCATCTGCAACAAGGAGGCGCAGACAGAGCCGGCATCGCGTCTCCTCCACGGACCTCGGCAGGGGGTGGCTGGGAGAAAAGGAGATCTCTCTGTACTGAACTGAGTATCTTGCTAAGACAGGGTGTAAAACAAAAATCCAGAATAACGTATCCATGTAACACACACCTGTAGGTGTATAAACACAGGTATAAAAATGTCAGCACTAATGCTAAGCAGATCCCCAGGGCCCCGGGGATCGGCTGCTGTGTGGCTATGAAGCACCTTCTCTTGGTTTGGGAAAGCCTGTGGTCTCCAAACACACTTCGTCAATTTCCCCAACTGGAACTTGGCAGTGACCCGCGGAGCCCATTCATTCCCTGGTTTATGGTCGCTGCCGTGGCGACCTGGCTCCTTGAGTTTCAGCCTGGCTGAGTTGGAACTGGAGCATTGTTCTTAGTAAACTGTTACATAGCTGGAAGCTTTTCTTTTTTAATCTTTGAGGGCAAGACTGAGTACTTGGCCCAGTATCATCAATTAACTGCGTGGGATGGATTCGGAAATCCCTCCCCCATCTCCTCTAAGGCCCATCTCTACGCTGCATGGAAGGAAACGACTCGTTCTGCTGCTATACTCTGGTGTACGCGAGCAGAGGAGCCGTGGAGCACGGTCTCAGTGGAGCGACACAAATGTCTTCACGGCCATTCTTGGCTCATCTCGACCATCAGCTCTTGTCACCTGTCTGCGTCTGCCAGACGATGCCACGCAGGGTTTTTTGAGGCAGAGCTGTCACATAGGTGTCACTTGGCTGCAAATAAAATGTGCTACCTCCATCTACTTAGCATTTGGGGGAATGCAAAATAACAGGAGGCAGATTATACTTTCTTGTTCTCAGAAATATTACAAGAGAATATGTCAGAATTCCTCATTCCTATCAGCGGGAAACCAGAGAACTAGGTGAACCCTGACAAATAATCTACATTTAAAAGAATCTGTATTTGGGGCGCCTGGGTGGCTCAGTCGGTTAAGCGTCCGACTTCTGCTTAGGTCATGATCACACAGTCCATGGGTTTGAACCCCACGTCAGGCTGACAGCTCAGAGCCTGGAGGCTGCTTAGGATTCTCTGTCTCCCTCTCTCTCTGGCCCTCCCCTGCTCTCTCTCTTCAAAAATAAATAAATATATGTTTAAAAATTTTAAGAATTCATATTCGAAGATATTTCAAGTCAATGGAATTTATTTAAGGTGGTGCAGTTAAATTAACTCTTTCGTTTTGGCTTAAATATGACTACTGAATGTGTCATTTGGAAAAACAAGAAACCTCACTAATAAGGTATTCACACAGAAAGTATTTGCCAGTGGCTACCCTGTGTGTGTGTGTGTGTGTGTGTGTGTGTGTTTAAAAGAGTAATTAACTTTTTAAAAAAAGTAATTATCTTGGATATACTACTTTTTTACAGGAAGGTTAAAATCAATGACCCGAATGCCAGTTTGATCTCATCCCATTGAAAATTGGACCTAGAGCCTAAGAGGCTTTGGAAAATTACCTCGTGTAAGTAGTGTGGGTGCCCCCACTATGCTAGGAGTCTGAATAGAATTAGGCAAAGAGAAAATCATTTTTGTAATCACTATGCCTTCCTTTTATCTGTTATATAACCTCAAGTTTTAGGAAGAAAAGAGGATCATGAAATCAGGTAGCTTCTTAGACAGGTAAGCATTTTACAAAGCATGGATTGTGATCCAAACTGTGTCATTTAGATAGTTTTCTATTTTAACCACCTTGTAAAAACCAGGCAAATAGGGCAGTGACAGAGTGACTTGCAGGAGATCAGCACCCCTGCTAAGAACAACTGGCAGCCCCTCGTGAAACTACAGGAGTCAGGGGTGCGGGGCAGCCGGAGGGCTTAGCCCAGAGGGACGCGCGCCTCCATAGGGTGAGGCAGCGGTGCGCGAATCCCTTCCCTCGTTCAAGCGTTTTCAGATTCCAGACACTGAGTGAGGGAGGGGGGCCTGGGAAGAAGACAGTCAAAAAGAACCTAACAGCGCAAAGTAGGGGAGATAAAATATCAGACCAATGCCTTAGGAAGCACACCACGCTCTTAGTTTGGTCTGTAAGTGGGAGATATTCTTTTTCAGTTTATTTATATCTTTGGCTTCACATCTTTACAAATGATGGATTTTGCTACAGAGAAATTTTTTAATATGATGTAATTAAATTTATTTTCTTTTATGTTATAATTTCTAGGTCTTATTCTTACTTAGAATAGGCCCAATCTTAAATTAAAAAAAAAAAAAAAGTCTGCACAAACTTTGTGAATGCTCCTTTAAGATTCAACTTGAGAGGACAAATATTTCACGTAGCCAAAAGGGCCTCGTAAAAGCGTCAGCCCACACCAGTAGATCATTCAACAATTTAGGATTTTGCAGCCGCAAATGACTGCATTTATTGTGTAGAATGACTGCGGATACCATCATCTGCCTTAACACAGATCAGTCCAGAGTCTGACACTCAAACTCTTCAGTGCAATTATAAAACTATTCATCTTTAATCCAAAGTGAACAATCATTTATACTGTAGGTGACCTTCTAAAGCGCTGTCTAAACCACTCACATGTTTAACAAGCATATACACAGTTCAGTATCCTTGAGTATTAATTTAGGTAACCATTCTCTACAGTGAATATAGGATACAATATGGTTATATCTGCAGACTCTGGATCGGCTGGATTGACCGGTTATAGGCTCCTTCTGACTCTTGTCCGTAGTAAAGGGACTGGGGGTGAGGGCAGGTGTATCTGAATATAATATGAGCAACGGAGGTGCTCTGAAGGGTAGCTTGAAGGACCAAGGAATTCGACTATTATGGCTTTAGTTCACTGTGATCTGTGCATTTACACTTGGCCTAAGTGTTGGCCACGTTTGAACATAGCAGGTGCTTGTGCTCAAGTTATTTGCGTTAAGTAAACCTTTAGCTTGTTTCTCTTCCTATTTATAATGCCAGTCTGGCATCCTCAGACTGCAGTTTTAATTAGCTTGTGAGCTACTAATCGTTCGGTCTTCACCATCACTGTTTGGATTATGGCCATTAGCAACTTGTTTTTGCATTGGTGGAATTGAAGAAAATCATTTTGACTTACTTAAAATGTATTTTGCTATTTGGTAGAAGAAAGATGTTTGTATTTAAGCAGTTACATTTAGGCTATAGCTCAATATAAGAAAAAATGAAGCCTTCTATAGCCTGTATTTTTTATTGAGATCATGGGCATTTACTGTACTGGTGGGTCTTGCCAAGGTCATGGGTTCCTCTGCATCGCCAAAGTGTCTTCATATCAAATCAAAGGTAGTTTTAAAATATGCTTCATAGCAGATGTTTAGAAAGGCCCAAGGGGACAATTCTTATTTATTAAAGAGGCTTAAGTAAAGTAAATTCAAATTTCCAAAGAGCTTAATGGTTTTCAGGAAGAAGTACTACTCATTGTAATTTACCTATTTTTATTTTTTTAAAGAATCCTTTCTGGGACGCCTGGGTGGCTCAGTCTGTTGGGCGGCCGACTTCAGCTCAGGTCATGATCTCACTGTTCGTGGGTTCGAGCCCCGCGTCGGGCTCTGTGCTGACTGCCAGCTCAGAGCCTGGAGCCTGTTTCAGTCTGTGACTCNCCAGCTCAGAGCCTGGAGCCTGTTTCAGTCTGTGACTCCCTCTCTCTCTGACCCTCCCCTGCTCACGCTGTCTCTCTCTCTCAGAAATAAATAAAAACATTAAAAAAAAAAAGAATCCTTTCTTTATTGTACGGCATTTGCTCCTTTGTCAAACATTGGTTGACTTTTTAAATATAAACTCTATGCCCACGTGGGGCTCTAACTCACAACCCCGAGAACAAGAGTCCCATACTTTACCAGCCAGGCGCCCCCACTCACTGTAATTTAAACAAAGGATAAAAATAAATGTAGCTGGTGATGGCAAATGTTTGGAAGAACTATAACTCAAAAAAATACAACGAAGTTGGAAAGCAAGTACTTTTACATGATAGTTTTCAAATAGCTTTTTATTGAGTATCTCTCCTGACTTTTGGCCACTTCCCTCCCACCACTCCCTTAAAAAGCTTAGCTGTGATTACGAATCCCAAGATCTTACATATTTCTCTATGTTCAATGAAGAAGTCTTTTAAGTACTAATGGGGTCATTGAGTCTTGGTGCATTTGCTTTGTGTATTCTAGTGAGGAAAAGATTCAGACATTACAAGGACAGAGTCTTAATCACAATCTGAAGCTGCCACAGGACATCAGTGGACTAACCATTATTTTACAGCTACATATCAAGCAGCACTTTCTATGGTCTATTATATAGTTAAAAGCAGACAACACCCATATATTTCACTTTTTCAAGAACAAAATAAGCAATTAGCTACAGGTCCCACTGGCCTTACCCATAATATACAGTTAAACGTTTACATGATACAGGGCACTGTACAAGAGCCACCTTTAATAATTGAGTAAATAACCTGTACTTGCTTTGGAAATCGGCTGTTTGAATTTGATATCAAAGTACCATATTTTTGAGCATCAAGGTATTTTTCTGTTTATAAGACTGTGTAAAAGTCAAGGGTATCTTCAATGAATTTTGTGCCAGTTAAGCTCATACTTAAGGATAGTCTAGTCTGTCAAAGAAACACAAGTCTTCACCACTCCACATGTCAGGCATAACGAACGAACACAATTTTGTGTTTTTCCCCAAAGCAGTCGTGCAATTATGTCAGTACTATTTGTCAAGAAATTCATTTTTTCTGTCCATCCATGGTTTGAAATGATACTTTTACCATATACTAAATTTCTGTACACATCTTTTTGTATAACTAGACTTTTAATTCAATTAAACTTCCAGGTCATTCATATGTCAATACTACTAGTTTATTTTAATCTTTTTTATTATTAATGGGTTAAAACCCATAACATTTATAAAAATAGTATAGAATTCCTTTCCAACATTCATCCAGCTTCCACTAATGATAATGTATTCATAACTATAGCATATCATTAAAATAAGTTGATATTAGTGAAATGCAATGAAATGCAATACAGATCATATTCACATATCACTAGTTTTTACAGGCACAATTTGTTGGGGAGAAGAGCATATAACATTTTACAGCACATGTAGGTTCATGATCACTAAAATTGTTCCATGAACTCAAAAAATACCCCTCATTTTACCCCTTAATATTCACACCTACACCCAATCCTAATACCTGATCTGTTCTCCATTACAATAATGTGTCACTTCAATAATATTATGTAAACAGGGGTGCCCAGGTGGCTCAGTCAGTTAAGTGTCCGACTTTGGCTCAGTTCATGATCTCATGATTTGTGAGTTCAAGCCCCATGTCGGGCTCTATGCTGACAGCTCAGAGCCTAGAGCCTGTTTCTGATTCTGTGTCTCCCTCTTTTACTGCTAATCCCCTGCTTGTGCTGTCTCTCTATCAAAAATAAACAAACATTAAAAAAATATAAAAATATATATATATAGTAAAAGAAAAGCAAGACTTAGAGGGAAATTCATAGGTGTTGACAGTTATATTTTAAAATTAAGGAAGATCTCAAATCAAAACCTATCCCTCCTCCTTAAGAGAAGAAAATAAATAAATAAATAAATAAAAGCAAAGTAAACTCAAAGTGAACAGAAGAAAGGGAAACAAAATAAAGATTATAACAGAAATAAATGACATATAGGATTAAAAAGACAATACAGAAAATCAACAAAACCAAAATTGGCTCTTTGAAAAAAATTAACAAAATTAACAAAAGCATATGTATGTATATTGACCACATAGAAAAGAGTTTCATTTTAAGACAACTCAATTGGGAAAGAACAATTTCTTCAAGAAATGGTGCTGGGAAAACTGATTATCCTTGAAGGGATCCCTGAAGGGATATCCCTAAAGATCCCTTACCTTACACCATGTACAAAAATAGTTCAAAATAGAAGAAAAAGAAAAATCTAAATTTAAGGGCTCAAACTATAAAAGACTTGGAAGAAAACACACAGTCAAATCTTTATGTCCTTGGAGTGGACAGTAGTTTCTTAAAGATGACACTAAAATCACAGGCAGTAAAAGGAAGATTAGTTGCATTTCATTAAAATTAAAATCTTTTTGGGGCACCTGGGTGGCTCAGTTGGTTAAGCATCTAACTTCGGCTCAGGTCATGATCTCATAGTCCATGGGTTCAAGCCTGTGTCGGGCTCTGTGCTGACAGATCAGAGCCTGGAACCTGCTTCAGATTCTGTCTCCCTCTCTCTGTCCCTCTCCTGCTCACTCTCTGTCTCTGTCTCTAAAAATAAAATAAAGACATAAAAAAATTTTTAAAAAATTAAAAGTTTTTGTACATCAAACAGCACTGTCAATAGAGTAAAAAGACAAACCACAGAATGGGGGAAGATGTTTGCAAATCACATGTCTGATACTGTTTAATAATCAGACTACACAAAATCTTTTACAACTCAACAACAAAAAAGCAAACAATTCAGCTAAAAGCTGCACAAAAAATTGTATGGAAGTTTCCCCAAAGATGGTATGCAAATAGCCAAGGAGCACATGAAAAGGGTAGTCATTAGGGAGATGCAAACCAAAACCACACTGAGATACCACCTCACATGTACTAGGATGGCTCTGATTGAAGTAAAGTAATGTAAAGGTAAAGTAAGGTAAAGTAAAGTAAAGTAGCATAATGTAAAATAAAATTTAAAAAATTAAAATTAAAGTGTTGACAAGGTTTTAAAGAAATTAGAACCCTGTACACTGGTAGTTGGGATGTAAAATAGTACAGCCACTACAGAAAAGATTTTCAGTTCCTCAAAATGTTAAACAGAATTATCATATGACCCAGCGATTCCACAGCTATGTGTATGCTCAAAAGATCTGAAAACAGCTATCAGACAGAATCTTAAACACGAATGTTCAAAGCAGCATTATCCACAAAGACCCAAAAGTGGACCCAACCCAAGTGCCCATCAACAGCTGTATGGCTAAACATTATATGACGTGTCTGCCCGATGCCCTGTGATTCCGCATTAGAAAGGAATAAGGTTCGATGACAGGCTACCACTCGGATTAGTTTAAGGAGAATTGACACATTGTCCATTTATGCAGATTTTCCTTGATTTACTTAATTAACATTTTCCAAGTTTTCACTCTACAGCATGTAACAGTTTTGTCAGATCTAGACTTCAGTTATTTCCTTTTTTATTTTTTAGTAATTATAAATGGCATAGTGTTTCGATTTCTGTTTCCAACTCTCCACTGCTAGTATACAAAGAGATGACTGATATTATGTGTTGACTTTGTATCTTACAACTCAAGTTTGTGTGGGGGGGGAGTGGGGGCTTAGAATTGTCTATGTAGACAGCCATGTCTTCTGTAAATAGAGACAGTGTCTCTCCCTACTCAATTTCCTCCCATGCACTGGACCACCATCAAGGTCAAGAGATTCAGCACAGACGGAGGCCATCTCCCTGCCCACAAAGGCTCCTGCAGTGTTTCCAACCAGGGCCGGGGCAGGGCGAGCGGGAAGTACCAGTAGAGAAAAGTATCTTCAAGTTTCCCTGTGGTCCATCAGGAGGTCTTTGCAGGCAGCCTGCAGGAAGCCACCACGGACCACAGAAGGCCTCCAAATGAATCTACTTTGGGCTGGGGTGTAGACATGTGTGAAAACATATCTGATTGGAGGGAAGGGCCCTTGACTACAACTCCCTTCAGAGTCCACAGTGGCCTTGCTGTGCCCCTCACCTGTGACACCCACTGGGTGAAGCCCCTGCAGTGGCCATGATCAAGGCTAAGAAGCCACATGCAGGATTATGGAAGCCACATGCAGGATTTGGGGCTAGAGCAGTACTCTTTCACTCTACTCCCTGATTTTCTTAGACCCAAGTGAAAACCAGGATATTCTATCACAGACCTGAGTGGGCTGGACTCTGAAGTCCTGTGTCGAGACCAGAAAATGAGTTTGAGACAACAAGGATTATGGCTTTGGTCAAGACCACCAAGCAGTGGAGTGGGCCTCGCTGGAGGGCTCAGCGTCTGCGGAAGATATGAGTCTCCACTTACTAAGTTGGGAAGAGCCTCCTAGTCTCTCTGGGTCTATCTTACAGATTTAGGCGCCTTTTCAAAAGGTTTGTTTGAGGAGCATCTAGGTGGCTCAGTCGGTTGGGCCTCTGACTTTGGCTCAGGTCATGATCTCATGGTTCCTGCGTGTAAGCCCCGCAGGGCTGGAACCCACGAACCATGAGGTCATGACCTGCGGGCACGCGGTGAACAAGGGGCAGAGACCCTGATCAAGCACATGCCCCAAACACAAGTCCCTTTGTGGGAACTGTGGAACTGAGCCCCAGTCTGGTCGCCGGAGATGTGCAGCCGGGCTGGGGTTGTTTTTCCTTTTTCTAAAAACTGCTCACTAGAGACTATTTAGTGTTTATGAAAACATTACCCCAGCTGCTGGCGGTGGACACGAGCATGAGCGGGCTGTTATCTGACATGTGCAGG